GTACTGCCCTTGCCCTCCTGGCCGGCAAGGCCAACAGCCGCATCCCGCACCTGGCCGCCAAGAAGATGGCAGGGGGTGCGGCGGCAGGTGAGGAGGACAGCGGCTCCACCGGTGAGGAGACCGACTCGGGCCCTGGCAAGAAGAAGTTCCCGCTCAAGATCTTCAAGAAGCCCCGGAAGTAGTTGCGGGATGGGGGAAGGACCGGGCGAGCTGCCTGCTGCCCTCCGCTGGACCAGATCTGCCCCGCAGTGGCACAGGAGCCCCTGCCCCGCCCAGCAATGCTCTTTGCTGGGGGGCTTCCTGTGGCTAGAGTGCCCCCGCTTGGCTGCGCATTGCTTGCACCCGCTGCCCCCCTTCTGCCGGCTGTGCTCCTCTGCGTGGCTGGGCACCGGAGCGGGAGGACCCCTTCCCTGGCAGGGTGCCCCGGACTGCAGCCTTCCCTTGGGAGCAGAGTGGAAGTTTTGTGGCCCTTCTGACCGGACTCGGATGGCTCGGCTGGGGCAGAGGAAGGTGACGCTTCGGGCTCCTTGCTGTGTCCTGCCCACTCCTGGACTGGCCAGAGCAGCCGCGGGGCTGCTGCACAGGCGGCCGTCTCGGTGGGTCTCAGGGCAAGGAGGAAGGTGGCCGCCCGGCCAGTGAGGTGGCTGCCGAGGCAGGGACAGAGAGGCAGCTCCTCTGCCCGGCCGGCTGCTTTTCTGTAAGGGCCGTTTCATAAAACTGTTTTGAATCTAATAAAGCATGTAGACTATTTTAATAAGCTCAACTGTGTGGTGTCCTTCTGAGATGGCTGCAGAGGGGGCCAGAAGTGCTGCTGCCCCCAGCTCAGCCGGGGACCAAGGAGGAGGCTGCCTCTGTCTTCTCCTGACCTGAGGCGTGTCTCATAGGCGAAATTCCTGCCTCTCGGCCGATGGTGCTCTCCCCACTAGCCAGGAGGGCCTCCCTTGGAGAGAGTGAAGTACCCGGCCTGGAGGCCAGCCTGGGGACGGAGCAGACGGCAGGTTCGGCTGCTCTTTCCACGGTGGCACAACAGGTTTCCTTGTCTGGTTTCCAGGAGGGCCTCTACAAATGCTGACCTTCCCTGAGCTTGTTCTTCCCATCGCCTTTTATTGGAAGTGCTTCGTGAAGCCCCCATGTGTGGGGAGGGAAGGAGGGAGGGGACACTGGGCAAGCATCTTCATGTGCATCCTGGGTGGGCGGGGGGAGAGCCTGTAAGACCCCTTAGGAAAACCGGCAGGGAGGTTGTCTGTCCAGGCACTTCGTCCAGAAGCGTCCTGTTCTGTCCTGGATTCTTCTCTAGCTCGGCTCCGGTTCGTGGGCAGACACTGCCGCCCTGTCTCGCTCTGCTGCACGAGAGGGAGCACAGGGAGTTGGCTTGTCTGGAGGCGGCTGAGCCAGTATGGGGCCCTGCAGAGGTTGGAAGGAGACGCGGGGGGCCGAATCCAGGAGGAGGAATCTAGGGGGTGAGGCACCAAGTGAGCGGAGGGCTGGATGAGGACTGGCATGGAGCAGCAAAGCCCCAGCAGAGACTGGCCTCTTCTGTTTCGGAGGTGGGCAAACCCGCCCTGGCGGGTGCTAGAAAGACCTCTAGAGCCAAGTCTCACCACCTCCGATCAGGGAGTAGAGCAGCCACAGCCCCGGCTGAGCCCCCTGGGCTTCTTGCGGGGAGATGGGCGGGAGGCACCAGCGCCCTCGAGGCTGACCCCCAGCGAGCAGCAGCATCTCTTCTGGAGCACTGCTTTGACTGGAACCTCTCCGCAGGGGTGGCCGGGCGGCACGTGGGCTGGCACAGAAGCCTCCCCATGTGTCGGCCGCAGAATCAGGCCTCGCTGCAATCCGGCAGTTGCCAACTCCCCACAAAGTCGCTGTCTGTCAAGTTCACGGTGTAGGGGACGTCAATGACCTGGTGGGGCAGTTCGCGGCCGTTTGCAGAACGCCAGGAGTTCAGAGGACGGATGGCTTTCCTGAACCGCTGCAATGACACAGGAGACTTACCCGTTTCGGCAGAGCCCCAATTACCCACCTCAGCCACCCAGGGGATTGCCGGGAAAAATCCCCTGCAAATGCACGCCAGGAGACCTCTGGAGAGGCAAGGCGGGCAGGGCGTCTCCCTGCCGCTCTCCAAGAGCTGCCACGCTTCCCGGCAGAAGTTCTCCACTTCTTTCGGCCCCGGGTCTCCAGAAGGGCTGCAAAGCTGCCCCAAGCTCTGGTGCCAGTGACGCTACACGGGGGTGGTGTGTGTGTGTGTGTGTGTGTCTCGCCAGCACCCAGATGCTACCACTGACGTCAAAAGGAAATTCTGCCTGCGGGGGGACTTGACCCCTGCAGGAGAGCAGGCAGAGACCCGCAGGGGAAAAACCGGAGGCGCCCAGGTGCTCTGCTGCACGTTTGCTTCAGTTGCTGGGATCCTGCGGCCTTGCTGATGCGCAGAGGAGGGGGTCCTTGGTGTTCGCTGACACCTCCAGCGCTCTCCGCACTGGGAAACCCGCTGCAAGTCTCTGGGTTGGCTTTTGCAGGACCAGGTAGCTAAATAAACTCACTTTCTGGGTTCATACAAAATGGCCCACCCGCATTCCTTAAGTGGCCCTGGGGGAGCTACCAAAGGCATTTGGCCAGCGCCCTGCCTTTTTCATTTATTTATGATCCCATAGACCCC